AAAAGTCAATTTTAAGAAAAAATGGAAAAAAAAACAAACAAAAAAAAACTTGGAGACATTACATTGTTTTGACAGTAGATGGATTTTATTTTATGTTAACGTCTTACCCAAGTGATGGTGTTAAAACACGTCCTCCAAATACATAGATAGTCCTTCTTTCAGAGTCCATACACATCTGATGGTCATATATCAATTGTGGACCACCCATGGAACCAGTGTCTTCAGTTATTAATGTCCAAGTATTGGATTCAATATCATACACATAAAAATCACTCTAAAACCACATGATTAAAAATAGTTGATTAGATTCCAAAATTAGCTTCTTGATAACTATTAGTGACACATAACAAATTTAACCCTAACCTTCAGATTTGGAGGAGAACGGAAGTGGACATCTAAATACCGACCAAGAGTGAATATTTGTCTTCTTTCTGGATCTAAACAAAATTTGTGGCAGGAGCGAGCACTTGGGCCTCCCTACAGTAAGAAAAATGAATTGAATGGGAAACAATCAATTTCCATACTAAAATGTAGTGGTAATGAATTTCAGCATAAGTTGAAAAAATACCTCCAGTGAAGTGTCAGAGCAGCACAATGTCCATTCTTGTGAAGGTATGTGATATTCCCACATATCACTCAGATCTTGATTACCATCCCAACCTCCAAATAAGTAGATGGTTTCACTACTTGGATCAAGACACATTTGATGGCCCCCTCTCATTCCCGGTCTACATTCTCGTTTAGCCTCAGAACTGTTCGTCACATCGGGGTGTTGTGGTGCATGCATTAAGATCCATTCTGGAATATATTCTTGCTGCCCAATATAACCATTAAACATTCCACCTGAAGAGAAAAATAATTTTTAGTAAAGAAGAAGTCATGAGTGAAGTATTTATAGTAATAAAAAAATTGATACAGACATGACACTGCCTCAGACATAAAGTCTTCTGTACCCTGAAAGTCACCCTGGTCTACAAGAATTTCATGGAGTTTAGTAAGGTGGGGATCTTCCAGCTGAACTTCAGTTTCCTTGGCAAGAGCTTCAAGAGCATTAGTATACCTCATTTGCCGGAAATGTTTCAAGCAGTGACGTATCACTTCTCGCTCTCGATACTGAGAAAGAATTTCAAATAGTAATACATTTGCAAGCAAGTATAGTTTAATCAATGAAAACCATTAGGAACTTAATAACTCACCAAATTAAACCAGTCAATGCAAGGCTTCACAAAATTCCAATCACTAATTCCATGCAATTCCACAAACCAAATACTAAAGTTAAAACTGGGTCCCCATGACTGCAGCGGCACAATTTTTATGTATCTACATGGAAGAGGTTGCCCTCCAACTTCATGTCGTAATTCAAAAGTTTCAGGTGTGCTGTTGTTTTTTAGGCCACTGTAAAAAAATGAATTCAATAAAAGCTATGCACTACAATAGTTTGTAGTGCTGGATGTAAACAGTTAAACTTGCCTCTCTAAAAGTTCTAACATATTTTCATCATGAAGGCCACCATAGATTTTAAACTTTTTTAAGTTGCACACATGTGTTTTCTCATACTTGCCAAAAGTGATGTTTTTCACAATGGAAACTTTTTGAAGTTTCAAAATTAAGTACTTGAAGGACAGAAAGCAGCCATTAGGAACAAAGATAGCGGCATGAAAGAAAATATTTTAAAATAACACTCTACATAGCAAGTTACCTGACAGGGGTTATTGGAGTTGGAGGACCATCTTGATGATTGATCATGAGACTTGTTCTCTTGAATATTCCTGTGAATAAGAAAAAAATTATTTCATTTTATCCAAAATGGTTTTCTGAATAAGGATGATAGGCATAGTGTTTCGTAGCATCAAGAGACTACTGGCAAAAAGCTCATTGATAGCACTAAACCTTACTAAGTGCCTAGATATCATTAAAAATAGTTGACGGGTTCTATGAAAGAGCAAATAAAATGTCACAACTATAATTATTATTTTGTGTTACTTGTAAGAGGTTTTAGAGGAGACTGAAAGAGAATGTGAGCCATTTTCCGGGATATTGACGTGGCAACTACAAAGTCTCAAAGAAATTTAGAGTTAGTCAACTTGTAAATGTTGCAGAAATGTCAAACTAATAGTATGACTGTCACTAAAATCAAGTGTTGTTTACAAAAAAAGCAGATACACAATCGACCAGGTTATGTCAAGCTCTCAATGTCAGATTGCCTTCGCATTTCGCAATGCAATTACTTACTCAGGGACATATGTTGTGGAGTAACTAGAACATTTATGAATAAAATATCCAAGTTTACGCTGAGTTACTTCTCGAAGCGATCCCATTTCCGCAGTAAATTGAAATTAAAGGCTAACTTCAAACCCGTGTTTTCAACCACCCCCTTTACATCACGGCAGTTTAGATTCTATACAGTGTTGCCGCTAGTCTAGCAGAAGACATTTCACAGAATTTCACGCAACACAATTCCTTACATATAAATTCAGCAAACATCCACAATAAACATAATCGTTGAGTGAAGAACCCGACACCAGCATGGATAAGACTGTAAAACTACAGCAACAAACATTACTGAATGTCTTCGGTTTAATGTAGTTTTAGAAGAGGTTGGCGGTTAGTTATTGCGAGTCCGTGCCTTACGTGCCTCGTGCCTTTGAGACCTCGTAGTTGACCGCACATATCGCGAAAACTACGCAGTATTATCTGAGACAAGTTCTGATTTATATATACTAATCAGTATTCGAGAACCGAGGATATGTCACCAGCTAGTGAATGGGATGACGGCTTGACCAATTGGATGGCATTTAATGCTTTCATTTTTGGGGAATGCCCTCAGAAATAAGACAGAAATTAGATGCAATAGACTTTATTATAAATTTCACAATTAAACCAAAACAAAAACAAAACGACTCAATGACAATCGAAACCATAAATTTGAGGAATGTTCAATATGTCCGATGGAATTGGGTGCATGTACTGAACATGTGATAAGGGTCAACAAAATAAAATCATGAATCATACAGCTGTAAATGAATGTGCCACTGATGTAGACCTTAATGAGCTGACACTTATATAACATGGCTTCGATGCATGAAAACAACTTTAACAGTGATAAACCAACTGTACATGAGCAAGAACAAAAACAAAACTTAGTGCCTTAAATCATATTAATGACTTAGATAAAAATAAATATACATACTGCACAATCCAAAATTTCAACAATGTAAATGTTACATTATAAAACATACTTTGATCAATAAAATAAAAATACCTTTTATGCACATCTGGCACTTATATTATGTCTATGAATAGTTCAATAATAATCAATGACTTTGATAACAAATTAAATTAAGAACATGTCTGATGTCTTCATGACGTGCAAGCCTACTTCAGCATGCAACAGCTTCCTGGGAGTCTTTGGTACCATTAGTCTGGGGCTTTTCAGGAGATACGACGGTAGTGTCCGGGGATTGAATGGGTGATGATGGTTCTTTACCGTTTTCTGCATTCCCTAAAACAAAATAAAATATACTAATAGGAACAGCACAAGAATTGGAGCATCTCCACAAGAGTTACATACCATTAGTTTTGTCAGAGCTTTTGCTATATCTTCTTCCTTTCTTGAATGATGGTCTACGTTCCACCTTGGGCCGCAGTTCGGGAACAAAATGCCATTCTATTTTAGTAAGCAAATCACTTCTATCCTTCTCATCAGCAATGTGAGCCTGCAAAACAAAAAACACATTATTAAACTGAGAGCAAATGCAAGTTTAAGATATTCAGAAGTTTGAAAATCAGACAAGGATAAAAAATAGTACCTTTTCCTCTAGAAGTTTCTCTACTGCCTCTTTCTGACCTGCATTCCATGCCTCAGTGAGAACTGTCATATCAACATGTGCATCTACCAGGTTTCTACGGAGCAAATATGCACGTTCACGTTCCTTGCGAGTACCTCTCATCAATTGATGAAAAACAGGTCTGAGGGCATCTTGACGTTTAATCATTTCCTGCTGAAGCACCAATAGCTCTTCCTCACGACGGCACGGTTGAGTGTACTCACGTACACAGGAAATCATACTAGCAGTGTTAGGTGCAGCTGAATCACCAGCTCCATCTTCACAGCAGAGCTTCTGCAAAACCTGAAGAGAAAAGTCAAAATTTAATACAATGGTACACTAACTTTAAATCAGGCATCTACTCATGCACACATTCCATCAAATTTAATGCAAAACCTCAACCATAAACCTAAAACACTGATGCAATAGAAACAGGTGACCAAGGCAATAGTGATGTGAACTGAAATAAAATTTTAATACGCATTCATAGAGACAAGTTCTACAGAAAACATGTAAAGGCTAAAAAGCACATCCAAAACCAAAAAGGATTTACTATTCCTTTTAAATAGTAAAATGCGTCTAGAATGAAAAGATCTAGGATCCTAAAAGAAAAAATGAATTACTTGTCAATTTAAATGTCAGCAAAATCCTTGTCCACCTCCTTATGACCCCTAGAATAAACAATCACATGAGCCACCAATGACACAGCAAACATACAAAAACTTGGCAGGAACATAACACAAATTGTTAAGAGAAATGTCCATTAGTGGTTTCATTTTAAAGCTCAACCAATGAATGAATACAACTGCAACAGCATACCTGATAAGCCAAGCGTGAGCGGTCTGCAGCACTTTCCAGGCTCTCTTCTTTTCCAAGAAGTGTGTTAGAGAGGGTCCTCAAATTGAAGTGAGTGACTGCTTTAGCACATTTGCTTTCAGCAATGGCAAAACCATTGGCAAATCCAGCTACAACAGCCTTGAAGCGTTCTAACAAATTGTAATGAGGATACCTTCCTGAGGAATCAAAATAGTAATTAGTAGCCAGATTTAAGATTTTTTAAAGATATGAGGTCCAATATTACAAAGCTTACCTAAGCAGTGCAAGAGGAGAGCAGGACAAGAATTAAGAGCTTCATGGAAAACAAGGATAATACCATCTTTGGCATCACCTTTCACTTCTTCAAGCCAAGCAATGAAATCTTGAAGACCAGATACCTCACTTTTTGTCTTGATAGGCTGAAACAAAATAAACCAGTTGGAACATGTTGAACAATTAAAGTTTACTTGTAATTTCTTGTTCACTACCTTGTTGCTCTTGATATGCTTCAGAACTCTATAGCGTTGAATTGTGACAATCTTCAACTTGTGCCGGCGTCTGGTGGTGAGATTTAAATCTCTGCTTGGCATGACATACAATGAAAACTCTTTCTCTGGTGTCCAAGCAGCTATTTGCAATATCTCATCGACGAGGCGGCGTCCTGAGAAGTCCAGATCCCATCCAACAACGCGATAATTGCCGACAGGGAGACCCTCAGCTTTAGGAATCAATGGTGAAGAATCAACATTCCCAGAGACTGGTTTTTCTTGTTTTTCTGTGGATACCACCATGGTGCCTGTAACAGGATTCGTAAAAATCTTATTAAATAGTACAACAACGAATTAGAACAGGAAAACAAGAGAAGAGGGGGGAGGGGGGGTATAGTTGCTGGCAAACCTTCAAGAATGCCCTCTCATCTGACCTCTGGCCCCCACAAACTGATAACAATGTATACATACAAGCCTTCATATACATCTGTGATGAGGCAAAGGCCTGGTTCATACAATTGATTACCTGCTATTGTGAAAAGACCCTGCTTACATACACATGTGTATGCACTAGATCAGAACTGGATAAATAGAAAACTTATTGGAAAGTGGCTGTGGCAATATATACATAAGGCCTTTGGATTGCTCACAGAATTATTAGGTAAAGGAAAATTGAAACACTTAAAAGTTGACACCTATCAGAGGTCACTGTGACAGAAAAGGACATGCATGATAAGGATAAAAGATAAGACAAGTATAAGATTGACTAGCTTCCGCGATAGTTCCAGCTCCGAAGTGACAGTCGGGTCCCTCCACATGCTACAATGGAGGAGGGAAAATGATACCTGAACACGACAAGAAAACGGTTATTGAAGAAATGACGTGCTGGAAGACAGAATCAGAACTTCAATCGTACAACAAGGAACCAGTCAAACGGCGATTCCGCTTGCCGGCTAGACAGCTCGTGATGTTGACCCCTCGACGGTCAGTCAAGTGGGGCAATAATGGATCAAGGCTCCCATTGTTTCCCAGAAACAAACGAAAGTCAAGCGAGGAAAAAAAATACTTGTATTCCCTTCTGTGCGATTCTTGCGACCGCAGCCCCGCCCCACCCCACCCCACCCCGCTCGCGATTTTGGCGAACAGGATAATCTAGCACGTCAAAGCAAATCCGCAGGATAACGCTCTGCTCCGCTGGCTCGCGGGTGACATACTCACTGTTTTGACAAGACAACCAATGGTATATTTCACGGCGATGCGGAATGACTGTACGGTGGACCGTGGAATGAACGACTGACTTGACTGTCGGTGCGGATACCGTACCGTATCGCACGTGGAGATGAGATGGGTCAGGTAAGCGGAAAAAAAAAGTTCGACTGATTCAGCGCCTTTCGAATGTCGTGGGACAAAGATCCTTTCTTCTTTCTTTTTCTTTTTCCTTCGAGACATCGAAAACTTGTGTTTTGAATGAGATTCGAAAGCAGCTAGCAGAAGACACGTCCAGCCTCTTGAATTCACCACAAATGAATGAATAAGCCGAAACGCATCTACGCGTTAGGAGACAAGCCACAAAGTATTAACCCACAACTTAAAGAACCTACAGCTAGCAAAATGCTTCTGTCATTGGTTCAGAAATCAAAAAGTATTTTGGGTATAGGAGAAACTGTTACGACCCCAACTTCGTCTACCCCTCCTGTGCCAAATGACCTCCAAAGTGGCCCTTCAGTCAAGTCATTGAGTTCAATGGAGCAACAGAGCACGGCTGGGGCTGACCACAGAGAGTTCCAGGAACTAATTTATGGTATGAATGACTGAGGACAAACAACATCTCTCAATTCAGCAAATAAATAATTGTTAGGTTATGGTGTTGTTTCTTATAAACTGGCGCTACTTAGATCCATAGTTATTTTATCCTTGTACAGACATAAATAATAAGGCCTAGCTTTGATATGTCATATCATTGTCTCTTTTATTTTCTCAGACTATATTCGGAGCATAAAAGATCCAGAGAAACCAGCAACATTGGAAGATCTACATGTTGTTTACGAAGAAGGTGTTAAGGTAATAAATCTTAAACGAATTGCCAATTTTTAAAGCCTTGTTTTTTTTTGTTTTTTTTTAAAGGGTCGTTTTACAAGCATTTAAGGTTGTTTCCATCAACTTTGCTTTTATTTTCCAGGTGAAAGGCGTCACTTCCGGAAATGTGAAAATAGTAGAAATTGAATTTAATCCAACAGTTCCACATTGTTCTCTAGCTACTTTAATAGGATTGTGCATAAGGGTGCAGCTGGAGAGAACAGTAGCTCTTTCAAATCCATTAAAACTAGACATATTTATCAAGAAAGGAGCTCATAACACAGAAGAAGAAAGTAAGCACAATATGCTGTAATTTTGTCCTATTTGGTGTGTTTATTTGTAGTGACGATTGTTGAGAATATATTATCAAATGCCCTATCCGTTTCAGTAAACAAACAAATAAATGACAAAGAGAGAATAGCTGCTGCAATGGAGAATCCCAATTTAAGGAAAATTGTGGAAGAATGCATTCAAGAGGAAGACTGAAGAATACATGTTATTGTACCTGTACATATGTCATTTATTGAATCTAAATACTATATTTTTATTATTTTAATTATAAATGTATAGTGGTTTTATTATGGGTGTTATTTAATTATATTCTTCAACTATTAGCTTTGTCATTGTTGTCTTTTTCTCCCTGTGTGTGTGTAGTCATGGTGGTGCACTAGGAAATGCAATCAGAGGGAAGGCCAAGATGAAAAGTTAAACTCACGGAATGAACCGAAAGCGGCATAATAGGCAGCTTAAAAGCGATTTGGGGACCCCATGACTAGGGTCTCTTTAGACTTTCTGACTTTGCCCCCCGTGAGTGGCATGCAATCAAATAATTTGAAAATCCGGCGGCGGTCGCAAAGTCAAAGGGAAGGGGGGAAGGGTAGGGTAGGAGGGAGAATGGCCTAAAGGCTGCCAAGGCTTTCGAGGCTGCACTTCCAATACCGAAATCCTCGAGGATTACTCGCTGACTGTACAATTACTCATTTATGTTAGTTTTATGTCTCCAAAACCAATTGGGATGTCACAGATTACTACAGAAACGCCTGTAGTCGAATCTACGTAGCGGGGAAGAAAGGCGTCGTAGGTCCTGTGACTGTGACGCTCTACCATTTCGAAACAAACATGGCGGCCTCTTCATAATATCTGGTTTTGGTCATTTTCGCAGTACTTCTAGAGTGTGACATTTGTATTGAGATGATAAAATTATTAAACAACCGGCATTACTGGCGCTGGTGAGCTACAAATAATCTCGAAATGTAAACTCAAGAGGGAGAAAATAGGTGTTGAAAAGTGGAGAGAATGCGCTCTGTCGGCGAACCATCCAAGTTCTGTTGACCAGACATGTGTACAAAGCCCTTGCTCTAGTCTCCGTCTTGTCTTGTTTCTTCATGTATGTTTCTGTGCGACATAATGTTCTGGCTTGTGTCAAACATTGCCTCCCAGTTCTGAGGAGATTTGTGCGAGACAGAGTGATCCGATAATGAACTAAGAAATCATTGATCCTTCACAGGTGAACTAGCGTCCTAGGCTGACTGTGATGGACGCTGTGTGATCGGGATTTGTGCTACATCGTATTCATCATGCAGAACGGGTGCGCGGCCGGTTTTGCAAGAAATCTTCTTGTTCAAGAGTTCAAGCAATGGAAGAGTGAAAATGAAGGGTCGCTGTCACTTGTCGGCGACAGTATCTGCGATGACGGTAGAATTTGCCTCAAGCTCAGCCTCGGTCGCGGTCGAGACAAACTCTTCAGCCTGTTCTGCCCCGCCGAATATCCTGAATATGAGGATAACTTCTTTGCGGAATCAGAGTCAGTCAACCACTTGTGGCTTAACGCTTTGAACGAATTTATTCTTGACTCTGACGTGGGCCTAACCCTTGAAGCTATTTTGTGGAAAGCCAACTCCTTGGACTCGCGAGTACGGTATAGTCCATCAAACAGCTCAGATGATGAGGATGAAAACGAGGAGTTCATGGTTTTGGAAGAGGAAGATGAAGAGGATCTCATGGAAAGGGCTCTTTGGGATAAGGAGAAACAATGGCGAGCCAAAGAAGCTAAAATTCGTGCATCCCTTAAAGAAGCCGAAGATTCAGTAGGAGCTTCAACGTCCACTGGATTGGGTCACAAAGAGCCAAAAACAATGCAAGTTTTCAGCAATTTTGCGGCGTCAGGAATTTTAACCAATGATCTGAAGCACATCATTAAAACCGCGAGTGAAACAGGGATTGATGTTGAACCTATTGACAGCAATATTTATGAGTGGTCAGTCAGATTCAGTAAATTTGATCCTAACAGCAAGTTACAACAAGATCTCAACTTGCTCCAAGAAGCTCATGGTATTGGTTACATAGAACTGCAACTTGAATTTACCATGGATTTGTATCCGTTTTACCCTCCTGTGGCCAAGATGGTTCGACCTCGACCAGAGGGCTCTGTTCGTTTCATGCTTGCCTGCCTTGACATCCTGAAGCTCTCTTCATGGAATCCCACATGTGGTATGATAACCGTTCTTGAGGAGATCAAAGACTATCTGGCTAAACATGCTGTCCTCCATGTAGAAACAGCATTCCGATCCAGCATACTCCTGCCTATAGAAAACAGCCTTTTGCAACTGGCTCTTGTCAGCGAAGTTATGCCTCGTGATGTCTCAGGTCTTTCCAACCGTACCCAACCCAAAACATCATTACAGTCTACAAATATTGCTTTTGGAACCATCCAAAAATCTGGCCCACCTAGCATGTCAAGTTTGGCATCTGGATCATCAGCCACTGCTGGACCCTCAGTTTCCAACACATCTACATCTGGCGGGTCGAGCACATCCGCTTCTGGTACATCTGGAACAACTGGTACATCTATGTCTTCATCAGCCTCCACCTCGTCAACCTGCTCAATAGTTTCAGAATATTCTAAATGCTGCACCAGTGATGACAGTGAAACTACAAATCAACCTGTTGTTGTCACAGCCCCTTCCTCCAGTGCTGCTCCCCCAGATGACTATTCTTTGCTGAAAAGTAAAGTAATGAGTGCCTTGAGAAATAGCAAAAAACCCAAATTTCCAGATGGCACAGGCTATAGTACTTATAGTGATAAAGGTTGGGACATCAATGCACATATTGCTGTTGAAAAAGAAAAGGACAAAAAAATAGAAGCTGTATTGCATAAAATTTGGATAGATTTGCAAGAATACTTGGCACACTATGATATTTTGGTTAAACCAACTGATGATCCTATGGTGGAGTCCACCGATAGTGCAGATATGAATGATGAAGCTATGATTTGTAATGGACAACCCAGCCAACCATCTCCTTCTAAAACAGGTTAGTCCCAGTTTGAATTTAGGATTGTATGGCATAGCATAGGTGCAACTTTCTATCACCTAATGACCTTATGTAACTTGCATATTTTAGTTCCAGAATCAGCTTCTGTTGATGAAGGTGGTGCGAATAATGGTCACTTTGTCCTGAGCAAACAAAAATTGTATTTACCCAATCAAAGTGATGCATCTCGACAACTGTATGAAGCCTTAGAAGCATCTACCCTTATTCCTTTCATTGAACAGAAATTACAAGTATGAAGAAGATTAAATATAAATGGCCAGAAATATTTTGGTTTTTGTTTTTGTTTTTTAAATCTAATGAGTCTTTTGTTTTCAGGTGGACTCTTTCCTGGAGATCTGTAGACACAAAGCAGTGTACCGCTGTGTTATAGATATTCTATCTCAAATTGCCGGAAGACTCTGGCTGGCAAGGCTGCTTTGGAAACAACCTGGCCAGAAAAAATCTGTTTATTCTCTTTTATTGGCCATTAAAGATAAGGCACAGAAAGTTCTTGATAGGTATGTATTTTTTTAAATCTTTGCTTGGATCTAGACTTATTAGTTTCTGAAACTATTGGGTGAGAAAAAGTATGTGAAATCCCAATTTGTTAACTGTCATGCCATTGTGTCCATTAGGTATAAAATAGCAGCTGAATCTAGTCATTCCAAAAATGAGAAGAAGGGTAAGAAGCGTGCTAATTCTGGCAGCAGAGATAAAGATAAAACAACAAGAAGAAGCAAAGTTGCTTCTGCGGCTGCTGCTAATGTCGAAATGGAAGATTCAGAAGATGAAGCTGGTCCTTCAGGAGCCATTGGCATCAATGGCACTTTGGATTTCTCAGAATTGCATGGTTTACATGGCGACTTCTCCTTGGAGGATTCTGATGGGTCTGACGTTTTTTCAAATCTTGATGTCCACCCTAATGGTTTCGCATCAACGTTGGTTAAAAAAGGAGTGATGACTAGGAGTTCTTGCAACCTTTCTTTAAAGGGAAAGAAAGTCTGCAAACACTCGCATCAACATGTTTATTTTACTGGATCAACTGGAGCAACTGGAGCAACTAGTGCAACTGGTGCAACTGGTGCAACTGCAGCTGGAAGCCCAGGGAAGGATTCATCTAGCACAAACAAGACATCTCCAGGCACTTCAAGCTGTTCAAAGACCACTGCTTCTTCTTGTAAGGCTTCAGCCAGTGCCTCTAAATCCCCTGGTGCTCCTTCCTCCAAATCCCCTGCTAGTGCATCCAAACCGTCCACTTCGAAAGGAGCCGGGAGCGCTTCTAAATCAACTAATCAGAATATGCCATTGTGTGTGCTGTATCAACCTGGACCTGGATCATCAAAGCCTGGTGCAAGTCCTCCTAAACCTTCTACTTCTAAAGCAACGGCTACCACATCAAAGAGTGCTGGTTCCTCTACTAGTATGGAGGGTAGTTCTGCTTCTGGACCAGTTGGGGTTGCTACTATGAGTCCCTTTTATAAGCTTAAATGTGGACTGTTCCACAATAAAGAAGCCAAAAAAAGCCACACAAGTGCAGTGGGAGATAATGGCTCAAAGGGTGAGTTGTCATTTTCCTCATTGTGGCAATTACATTGTTGATAAAGTTCAAACTTATTCTACAGTTTCAATGTTTTTCAGATGACACGCATAATTCAGCTGGAATATCCGGATTTCTATCTCACATTGGGAATCTTTGGCCGAGTTCTTGGTCGTCTTTGAACCATGATTCAGAACCCCCACCAATAGATATAACACCACTGGATCCTGCTGGTAACTTACAAAAATTTCTCGCCTCATTAATGTGAACTTATAAAGCCACGTCACTCTCTACCTATATTGTGGGTTTTGACATTTCAGGTGATGAGCAACTTGCTCAAGATTTCTTTGATCTGGCCTTGAAGGTAGAGAAAGTTATAGAACAACTAGGCCTTCCTGGCTGTGATTCCCCAGAGCATTCAGATGAGCCTCTTGAAGCACGCCGTGTGTCTGTTATAACATCTACATCAGAAGTTCTGAATGAGGAACTTTCAACAAAATATATATCTGCTTTGCGGGAAATGCAATTTGACAGCTGTGATATTGATGGTTAGTCTTATTTCTTGGAGGTCTGTCTTAAAAGCATGTTAAAACTAGTTATGAAGTTAAATAATATTATTCTTACAGTGACAAACTCCTCTTCTCACACGTATGCTTCAATGTTCAATTCGGCTTTGACACCTGGACGTGCACAAATGATGAGGATTGCTCAGGAATTAGCTTCCCTTTCAACCTCATTGCCTTTAGATCTTGCTTCAGCCATATTTGTGAGATCGGTGAGTGTAATGTCATTAATGTGCATAGCAGAGTCCGGTTTAGAGGTAATGTTCCCTTTATGAATCAAGTTGTTCCTAATCTTATTTTCTTTTTTCATTTTGTTCTAGGACGATGCTAAAATTACTTTACTCAAGGCTCTTATCATTGGGTAAACTATTTTGATATTACTTAGATGTGTTCCTAAATTTTATGTTAAACAGACATCAAGTTTTCAAATTTGTGTTTTTGTTTCAGACCCGAAGGAACTCCTTATGCCAGTGGTTGTTTCCTGTTCGACATATTTCTCCCTAGTAACTACCCCAAAACTCCACCTAAAGTTACTCTTAGGACCACTGGTAGAGGTTCTGTACGATTTAACCCTAACCTTTACGCTAATGGAAAGGTGTGTTTGTCACTTCTTGGAACTTGGAATGGTTTGCAGGGAGAACAATGGAATGAAACGTCCACACTTCTGCAGGTAATCCTAAGATTAAATTTGTTTTTCATTTTCTCAAAGTATGTTCAGAGCACACTCTAACCTCATTGACTGCACTTCAACAAATTTCAGGTGTTAGTATCAATTCAAAGCCTTATAATGGTAGCAGAACCATACTTTAATGAACCAGGATATGATTCCTTGATGGGTACAGCAGATGGTAAAGCATCAAGCGATACCTACAATCGTAATGTAAAACTTCAAACTGTTCGACTTGCAATGATTGAAATGCTGAAATACCCTCCTGTTGATTTTGAAGAGGTGGTCAAAACTCATTTCAGAATAAAACGTTGGCGAATTATACAGGTTTGTACAGCTGTTAAAGATTCAAAATATTAATTTTGCCACTGTTACTTACACTTACCCTCTTTTTTTCTTCTCTTTTTGTAACAGGAAATTGAAGATTATATGGTTCTTAATCCAGGACAATCAGCACTTTCTAAGTCATTTAAAACTCTGAAATCAGAACTCTTAAAGCTGAAGGACTGAACACAGTATTTACAAGATTGATTTTAGAATCACTTTTCATTGATATCTGATTATATTAATTAATCTTGGCCTTTATTGTGGGAAAAAAAGTGTAACATATCCTGTATTGCAAATCTAGGTGTACTGTGCCTGTGGCTATCATCTAGTCAAGCACTGTTTTGTTCCCCTTTTGTAAAGTCTTCTCTGACATAATGAATACTGTTTTAATTGTTTGAATTCTATGGTTGTCACTGGTTTCCTTTGTTAAAAACTAATTGAGAACTGTTTGTCTATGTAAGCCACATTTGTTCTGTGTAAATAGTAATTCCAACTCAATTTTAATGTGTAAAGAAAGATGTTATTGTTTTCCTTCTTCTATTTACCAATGTGTCGTTCAAATTTAAGTTAAAAATAAGGTTTAAAACATTAACCCTATTTGTATTGATACAGTGAATGTTAATGTTGACTTTGCTGTGTCGAGTAAGTTTCTCAATTTTTAATAAAATTAAAGTATAAATGTTAATTTTTAATTCTTGTGATAATAGGTGTGCTTAGCATTCTAATGAGTGCACAATACCAATTTCATATTTCCTGGTAAGTGAAATAAATTGTGGTATGTATATCTATTGCTGCTTGTTATTTTGTAAGGGCAAAGTAGAAATTGTGTAATTTTCTTTAGTCATTGATTCAGATAGATTTGTGCATTGTGCAAAATCTGATCTGCTGGAAATTGTTTGTCTTTCCTATTCCACTACTCGTTACGTTTTTACCTAATTTTGTTCTGAATGCCCAATTTTGTTATTTTGTGATATGTTGACTTGTTTCTATAGGAAGGATTGATTGTGTCATCCAATGAATGGCTCAAATTGTGCTCTAATCCTGAGTTGAGAATGCTGTCAAATGGTACTTTTATGGATGAGCACATAGTCATAGTCAAATTTGCCTTGCTGTTTTTTGTTTGATTTCTTTTAAATTTTGAGAAGAGACAAAAGCCCCTCATTTTGTTTAGATGTTGGCTGTAAATTTGTATGTTCTTGTCTCTGATAACATTCTGTTAAATATTGTGATGGTAAAAATCGTGGTTTGAATCATATTTTAACTTGAAGCATTTGGGATTTATTGACATTTTTGAATGTGAGTGATCAATTCTTGTCAACATTGTGTGTGATGTGATGTGTCTAGTGATCTAAAGTTAATCTCCAGAAAATCTACAAATTTATCATATCCATCTCAAGTTTCTTCTCCCTGGCCTAGTTCAATTGTTCTGCAGGCGTATGTAGTCTAACTTCTTACAAAGTTTATGTTAATTTTAAGTCAGTTTTAGTACTTTGAATATTTTGAAAAAACTTTGCATTTTGTTGTATGTGACATCTTAAGTACTTCTCAGACATTTTCCTGGTAATCTAGTATGACTTCCTTGTGCCCTGAACTGTTATATTTACACCAAATGCCAAGTTGTTTCTCTTAGAAAATATTGGACTAATTTGAATGTTTTCCTACTGGAACATAATTTTGAAACAGTAATTCCTCTGATGTAATTTGGTTTTATTACGAGTATGGAATCTGTTCAGATATGTAGAGGTTGGGACTGATGCAGAACTATTAGAAGAATTTATCTCATTATTTTGCTAGATGCAGTAGCAAATTAATTCTGTTGATTGAAGCGTAAAATGTGACCCCATGTAAGCTTCCAATAATTTTAGTTGACTTTTCAGGTGCATAACTTTGTCCTGTGCTCTCTGTAATACATTTATTAATGCTAAGTGATAAATGTTCTTAGTCTTGTCAGTGTTATCTCTTATTCTTCTGTGTGGTACATTGGGTTACCTTAGTTCTAGACATTGCCATATCTTATTGCATGAGGACATATATAAATCTTTTATTTGCATACGAGTTTGAGAGAAAGTATACGGATTTAAAATTGATAAAAAATACCTGTGTATTGACATCAAGCCATGTGCGTAATATATGGCAAAGTTATATTGTATTGCTGGTGGAAATTTGTTTACATTTTTGTGATTCAGTGTGCGGTTCTAATTCACCAAATTATATTGAGTTACAGATTGTTTTTCTCCATTCAATATTTTGAGTATGTCTTGTGCTTGGATGGGGCACTACCTAACACCTGTGTGTTTTATGTGCACCTGTGGGAAATTTTCATCAGCAATTGAGTTGTTTTCTTTTCCAAACACTTTTTATTTGTTTTGTTCCTTAGTTCTTTTTCTTTCTTACCAATAACTTGATGTGGTTCTTACGAACTTCATCATTTTGATTTGTTTGCGATGCAATCTCAAATCTGGAAAATAGTGGAGTGGACCTATTTTATAAAACGGCCATCTTTACCATGTCATTGATGTTCATTAAAGTAATGTGCTGCAAATAAGAGTATAATGATTTGCTTCCTAATGGCATCCTTTTTTCCCTAGCCTACAGACAAGCAAGGCCTTACTGGCACCCAAATCACTGAATAAACCAGGAAACTTCAACAAGAACAAGTTTTACTCATTGTGTCGAAACTAGAGGGAAAACTAGAGTAAACCAGAGAGTACTTGGAGAACAGGGCACCGCAGCCACCGGGATTGGAACCCGTGAACAGGCGGCCGTCGCGTCGCTATGCAATGCTCGCGCGGTGGCGCCCTCGGCCCTCGGCAGCGGCGCCTACCGGAACCTCTCGGCTCCAGTGCCGCCCGCCCCTGCCCTCCCCTCCCCTCCGCTGCACGCGGCGCGGCGGCGGGGCGGGCGGCTTGGCAGTCGATCGCGAGACCGCGCACTGCTCGAACGGGTTGGGCTACGCGCGTCTGCTCCGCGCCCGCTGTCACTGGGGCTCAAACGCCGCGCTCGCGGTGAACAACCCTCAACCGGCAGTGCTCCTCCTTCACCCCCGGAGCGACGACACCCCGCCCCGCACTCCCCCCGTCAGCTGTCGGCGGCGTGCTCCCGCGCGCGCGACTCACGGGGCTGCCGAGGCTGGACCAGGGAGGCTGCCACCGTCGCCGCCACCCCCGACACCCACTCTCCCCCCTTGTTCGCGAGTGAAGTGAGTGCGGCGAGAGAAGACGGTGCGCTTCGCGTGACAGGTCTCCGGAACAGCCGCCCCAGCCGCGGCCTGCTGCGCCGCTCTGGTCCAGAGCGCGCCGCCCCCGCTGGCCAGTCAGTCACCCCCAGAGGTTAGGGGCCGAGCCCCGAGCCGAGCCCTACACCCCCCACCCCTCCACCACCAGCGTCTCGCGCTGCCCGCAGCCAAGTAGTGCAAGATTTGGCTGGGGGAAGTATACATTTAAAAAAACAAAACCGAACCGAGGATTACAGTTTCGAACGAACCGACTACTCGAACGACGCTGCTGCGATTTGGCATTGGATACGACGTCGCCGACTCGGATACTCTGTGATTGCAAGGTGAGTGACATTCGTGTGTGTATGTGTGTGTGTAGGCACGCGAGCGTGCGTCTTGCAGCGTGCCCTGGACAAGACGGGGCAGGGTCACTGCGGTCGGGCGTTACCTGGGATGGGTGAGGGGAGTATAACGTAAGTGTCTCTATTCAATTTTTCTAGAAGGCGTGTGGACGACTGCGGACATGACCTGGCTCCCGAGGGTCAGGCGTGACAACTGCGGACATCGCGAGCGGGAGGGCGTGTTCTTCGAACGCGGCCGGCCGACCGGCTGGCCGAGTGTGACAACTGCGGACGTCCATGACCGACGGGTTGCCTACCCCCGCTCCGGCAGGCGCTCCTCCGCCTGGGCAGCGCGTCCCGGGCTCCGGACTTCGCTTGAGTGCTAACAGAGTTAGGCAGGTTCAATCGCGTACAGCATGAGAGTGGTCGCTGGTTCGAATGCCAGCGGCTGCCAATATATCCTTTCCGTAAGGGAAGAGCAGCACGGAGTTGACTCTCAGTGCTGCTCAGAACTCCTCGGTGCCCGCGTCGCGTGGTCAGGAGCGGAGCGCAGGAGAGTCTGGTCGCTGGTTCGAATGGCAGCGACATCCAATTATATTATTTTTTTCGGTTTTTCCTTATGAGAGGAAGAACAGGACGGAGTTGGCTCTCTGTGCTGCTCAGAACTCCTCGGTGGCCGCGTGGTTCAGAGCGTAGCGCAGGAGAATGTAGTTGCTGGTTCGAATCCCAGCGACTTCCAATTTATTTATTTTTGTTATTTTTTAAGGGAAAGAGCAGCGCGAATAGTGAATCTCGGTGATCGCGACGAGGCGACCCCAGTTCAAATCCCACT